GCCTGTGGAAACTGAGGCGCGCAGGGGTGGGGCAGCCGGACGGGGAAGGAAGCCGAGTGTCACTCCGTCCGCCGAGGACTTGTCGGGGCTGGGGACGGAGAAGCCGGGTAAGTCAGCTGGCGGCGGAGAGAGAGGGAGAGAGAGAGAGATGAGAGGGGGAGAGAGAGACAGGGAGGGAGGGGAGGAAGGGAGGGAGAGAAATAAGAGAGAAGAGGAGAGACGGGGAGAAATAAGAGCGAGGGAGAGAGAGGAGAGGAGAGACAGGGAGAAATAGGAGCGAGGGAGACAGAGAGGGGAGGGCTTGATCTCTGTGAAGTCCGCTCAGGTAGTTGCGGGTGAACTTTTGACACTTGAAAGTGATTGCCGACTTTTTTGTTTTGTTTTGTTTAAATAGTAGACTTGGAGTTTTGTAACAGTGTTGACTTAGGATGTTTACCTTGAAGAGAGGTGGTTTTTGTGGCAGAGAAGCGGACAGAGTGACTGCCTTAGTTTTTGTTTTTTGTTTGTTTGTTTTTGAGGTTGTAGAGAGGCGCCTTCAGATTTTGTCGGAATATTAAAGGACGACTGATTTTTTTTTTAGGGACACTGTAGGGCTGAGCCTCCTAACTACTGGGATGCACTAATTATTAGGAGTGTGGTGGCAATTTTATTTTTTTAAAATGGGGGGGGATAAGGCTTCAGGGCATCGGTGTGTTGCTTTTTACTCTTTGGTGTGATGTCATTTTAATAGTTTTATTTCCTCCCCCTCAAAAAAAAAAAAAACCGCCTTCTTCCAGGTACAAAGTAAGAAAGTTGAAGTCAAAGACCATGGGAGATACAGCAAAACCTTACTTTGTGAAGCGCACGAAAGACCGTGGGATTACTGATGATGACGATTTCAGAAGGGGTCATCCCCAGCAAGATTATTTAATAATGGATGATTATGCTAAAGGCCATGGCAGTAAAATGGAAAAAGGCCTTCCCAAAAAAAAGATAGCGCCCGGGAACTATGGGAACACCCCCAGGAAAGGACCGTATGCAGCTTCCAGCAATCCGTATGCATTTAAAAACCCAATTTACAGTCAGCCTACTTGGATGAACGACAACCACAAAGATCAAAATAAGCGATGGCTGCCTGATGAACTTACTGGTAATGCAGATAGCTGGAGAGAGTTCAAGCCTGGACCCAGGATTCCTACCATAAGCAGGTCGAGGAAAGAATCCTTTCAAGAAAGTGAAGATTGCTCCAGGTGGCAGGACGGGAGAGGCTGCAGAGCAGTCAGAAGGCTGTTCCAGAAGGACCTCACTAGCCTAGAAGCCATGTCAGAAGTGGAAGCAGGAAGTCCTGGTATGCTTCAAGTCTCTAGGTTACATGTCTGTATCCCCATCCCCACCTCCAAATAAGTTTTTGTTATTTTCAGTAATGAGCTATTTAATGTGATTGTGTGTTAGAGTTTATAGTGCTATAGTTGGGTGACTCCGTCACATTCCAGGCATTGAACTGTCACAAGATCAAAGCCAGGCTGGGCCTCAGAACAGGGTACTGTCCCCAAAAAAACAAAACAAAAAAAGTAAAGCTCATTTTACATTAGTAAATCCTTTATAGAAGAGGATGGGCATACACCCTTGGAGGTCATACTGTAATTTCTGAGTCATGAATGTGTATTTCCATGTTCTAATTTTAACTTTAGAATGTGTTCATATTGTACACAACAATTTAAAACTAAAACTATTTCATGCGAAGACAGTAGAGGCTGCATATATTCCAGAGAGGGAGGGAGAAAGGCAGTGGTGGGGAAAGAGGAAGCTTGGGAAAGGGGAAGCTGAGTTGCTGTTGTTTATCCAAAATCACCCCGGGCCTCGGAAGTTGCACACAAGCTCAACAACAGAATTTGGGAACATGTATTTTGAGACCCAGAGTGCAGATAAAAAGCAATGTTGATCCCTTTCAGAAAAATCAAAAGCTGTTTCTTTTTCTGACACACAGTTTCTTGCAGACAGGGCTAGCCTCGAACCAGGTACTAAACTTCGTTTTTTAAGTAACTTTGCATGCTTTATAATAATTATCCAAAGTGGTTGTGCCTTTTTCCTAAAAGGTGCTAGCAGATGTTGTATAGCAATTACTTCTCAAAACAAGAAAGTTATTTCTGTCTAATTGATGTGTTTACTGAAGTGAAATAAAAGTTGTGAATTGGATGCCAAAAAAAAAAAAAAGTGAAAACTGTTTATAGTTTGAAATTGGACTTAAAAAAGCGCCTTTTTATTTTTTATTTTTTGAGACAGCTTCTTAATGTGTAGTGCTGCCTGGCCTGGCACTCGATATGTAGACCAGACTGGCCTCATGGTGATCCTCCTGCTGCTTCTTCCTGGACGAGGGTTTAAAGAACCCTGCCTCAAAAAACAAAAACAAACCAACCATAAAACCCAGTACCTTACAGATCTTTGAGCTGGCCAGGCTGGATGTGGAGCTGTAGTTCTACAAATTGGATAGCTGTAGTTTGGAGTGGTTAAAATTGTCCAGACTTGCTTATGTGGTGCTGGGTGGAAAAGAGGGAGTCAAATTGAAACAGAAACTGGGGATTCATCCTGTCTCCCTGGCTTACCTCAGTCAGGTAGGAGCTGGAATCATGATAAGGAAATTGAATACTTATTGGTGGTTTCTAGGCTTTTGGTTTGTTTCTTCTTTTTTATAAGTTTTGGGCATACTGTAAGTATTTCTAATATTGTAGCATCCATGTAGGTGTGGACACTAAAATAACGTTTGTCTTACGGAAATTAAAAAATTAAGATAATTTGTGTGTTACTTGCCTTCAGTCCCAGAACTAGAGAAGATGAGATGGGAGGGTAGAGAATTTGAGGCCAGCCTACACTACAGGGGATGATTTTTGAGACTCATTTTTAGGCCAGGTGAGGTGGTCCAGTTGTATAATGGTGACATTTGGGAGGTGGAGGCTGGAGGGTCAGGAATTGAAGATCAGCCTCAGCTGCCTGAGTGAGTTCCAGGCCAGTCTAGGTTTCAAGAACAAAATAAAACAGACAAATGAAAAAGGAATGGGGAAAGGGAGCTTTTAGCAGTCTCAGGCTCCCTTGACTGAGCAGGCTGAGCGCTACATAGTTATTCCCAGAATGCTAGAGGCAGAGGCCAGCAGATGTGTGAGTTTGTGGTCAGCCTGGTCTACATAGTGATTTTCAGGCCAGCCCAGGTTACTTAGTGAGACCCTGTCTAAATAATGGTTTATAGCCGGGTGTTGGTGGCGCACGTCTTTAATCCCAGCACTCGGGAGGCAGAGGCAGGTGGATCTTTGTGAGTTCAAGGCCAGCCTGGTCTCCAGAGCGAGTGCCAGGATAGGCTCCAAAACTACACAGAGAAACCCTATCTCGAAAAACCAAATAATAATAATAATAATAATAATGGTTTATAGATCAATGCTTTGCAGCTAGAAAGTTTTAGGAATAACTAGGGAGGTGCCTCAGCAGGTGTGAACGTTGTCCCTGTGTTTGCAGCTCATTTAAATATGTGTGTATGAAGTACAGACGTAAGTTTCAAGTTGCCAAGTGAAGAAATTGATAACTTTCCTTGAAGATCTTCATAAAGGATTTATGTAAGAATACATACAATAGTGAGGAGTTTAATTTGATGTGTAAATTTGCAGTATGTGGAAATGGTCCTAAGAAAGGTCATTAAAGGGACTAAAATATCTTAAAAAAAAAATTTCTTTTATTTTTTTGCGATGGGGTCTCCAGTGTAGTTCTGGTGGGCCTGGAATTCTCTATGTAGATAAGGCCACCTCACACTCAGAGATCCACCTTCCACCTCCTCCCTTGTTCTGAGATTAAAGGGGTACACCACCATTTTCTGCAATAGTAAAAATTAATCAAACTATGAGACAATGTGATAAAAAAAATGTATTAAAGTTGATTTTTAAAACTTTTTAAGTACTGATTTTTTTTTTCCAATTCTACATTATTGACCCTCCTTTAGCCCTCAAATTGCCTTAACTGGCAATGTAAAGTATTTGGGGCAATGTCAATAATAGGCTGGCTGGAAACATCCATTCAAATAAATATCCATTCAAATGTCCTCTGTGACTGGAGTGATGTACCATATGCGAGTGCTCACAGACAGCTGGGATTGACAGGCTAGGGAGCCTGAATCTTCCTGACAGTGGTTATGGAGCCTTCTCAGGCTGTTTAGCTGCCCCACAGCTGCTCAGGGAGCTTTTCTCAAAGTTGGTACCTGCAGGACTAGGGATTTCTCTTCACTGCGTACTGGAAGGTACATGGCTAATTTCTGCCATATTTTAAAATGCAGCTTAGATCTTTATTTTACCTTGGCCCTGTGTCCTTAGGCAAGTCACTTAGTTCTCTGAGACTGCTGTTGTCCCCACTGAGTGCACAATGGGGCTAATCTTAGCACTGATGTGGGATTACTATAGGGATCAGAGGAGCAGGGCACATAAAAAGGCACTTGATTTCCTGATGTTGTGGGATGAGACAGTGCTGTTGACATTGCCCAGCACTTTCATCCGCTCTCCCTTGCCGAAAGGAGTAAGTCACAGTCTTGGCCCTCTTGCCTCAGTGTCC